CTGATAGCAAGGTGGTTTGGAAGATTGTGAACGAGATCAGTGCAAGGCAAGTTATCTTGAAAATTTTCAGCCATGATAATAGTAAAACTCTAGAATTCAGTAAAGTGGACATAAACAATTGCAAATCAAAAGACAGAAGAATTTCTAACAATCTGAAATCTACGAGTGTATGAACTCAGCTTACAGAGTTACAGTAATATGACTGAAATTGCAATGTTTGCGTTGGTGTTTGGCAACGAACGGTCTTATCTATAAATACTCCTGTTGCCGCGTACAAGTATATTTCCAGGATGTTTCAGTGGACGTGTCAAAGAAAAGATTTCGACGAGTTTGTTCAACTGTAAAGATAAGTTTTGATGACAATTTAATTCTTGGAAAATAAGCAAAATAGAATTTCTTGAAAATGAAGGAATATATTCGTAGTAATTGGCTTGAGAAAGAAATATAAATTATAGTATCTCAAATCTNGGTGATTATTTTTTTTCCAAAGCCGGTGTAAACCTAAATTACCTAATTCTATAGTGCTTAGTCGTTTTGGCAAGGACAAAATAGGCTAAAATATTGTGGGCATGATTTTTTTAAAATGATGTGAACACAATATTGCTACTGCATGACTGTTAAGTTTTTGTGCCTATAGAATTAATGCATTTCCACATGATTTTAAAGGTTTTTTTTTTAACTTTTTCTTTTGAGTCAAGTGCTTTTGTTGCATAACTTTTCCTCCAGTTTCGAAAGGAGGTCTTTCTTGTTTTAATCTTCAAACATTTATATAAATATCTATAGAGAGAATTAGTTAAGCCTTATCTTAAATAAACTTGGTGTCAAGTATACGAATCATGCTTTTTAAAATAAATCCTCAATGTGCACCCTGGATGTGAAGTGCACTTTAAATAAATCCTCAATGTGCTTGCCGCTCAAAATTTTTTCGGTGCAAAAATTCTTGCAAAGATACATGTAAAGGATATGAAGTGCACTTTAACGTTTGTCTTTCTTTTCTGTTTATTCCTTATGCTGTTTCAACTGATTTGTTCTAGCAATCTATTTTCAGGTTTTGGGCGCTAACTCTTTGGGGTGACTACATCAAGTCATTGACCCAAGGTTGTATTCTCTTTTATATTTTCCTTTTAAGTGTTCTAGAAATAGGATCATTTGATCTTTAGTCGCTTTCTCCCAGTTCACTAGCATGCTTTTTTAGTAGATGATACAAACAATCAATAGAAGAAGCATAAATGACAATAGAAGAATTATCCACTTTGTCTCAACATACTTCTTTAAGTTCCATCTTGGCACATTCGTCTTAATTTGTAGATATTGCATCATATCCTTTTGCCACTTCGTTGCTATCTATTTTCATGTTTCAATGCATACTTTATTATTTAATGGGTATAATATTTCTTGCTCATGTAAAACTACAATTTTTATGTCAAATATTTCTATTATCATGTACCACCATGCTGTAGACACACATGATGAGGATTAAATTCTATTTTGGGGTGTTTTCTTTATGCAGTAGTCTAAGCTTTTGAACTAATGACCTTCTTAGATACAGCATTAGCGAGACACATAATGCACCTGACCTCCAGTAGAGGGAAGGAATGTGTTCTTCCATTCATTTTGTTTTTTTTGGGATGGAGAAGGGGGTTGGTGGTTTGGATCGCAAATTAATTTTTGATATATAGTTAGGTACCGATTACTACTTTTGTCTAGGGTATATCTGTCGCGTTTCCACTTTATAGAGCTTGTTAGTATGCTTACTATTGTGCAAGTTATAAATTGTTGCTATTTTGTTGACCACTTGAATGATGATATGTCTCCTACGATTTCATTATATCTAAACTGGATGTAAAGTAATTATACCATAAATTTAATCATGGATGATTCACGATACAAAAACTTTCATCAATAAAAAAGAAAACATGTTGTCACAAAAAATAGACATTTCCAAAGCTATCTCATGGAACGAGACAAATGGATTAGACATAGTCATCTAAACGTCATTGATGAAAGATCTGATGGGCAAGTCCTTTCAACAAATTTTAAGGTTGATTTTTATAGCATCTGCGATAATGCAATGAAACAAATGTCCAGACTTCACCAAATACTTCCAATCTTCAACAAGTTTTGAAAAATCTACAATTTTGACGCTAATAAAAATACAATAAATACAAAATTCGTACAACGCATGTGACATCGACTAGTTTTCAAGAAAAAAAAGGGAACAAACAAACAAAAAGACCGGAAAAAAAAAATAAAAATAAAAATCAGAGCACTCAAGACATTTAAACTACACGCTGAGCAAACGCGGTAAGGCTCGAGATCTGGACTAGGGTTCCTCAATTTGAAATTATATTCAAACTAAGCTAAAGAAATTAATACCGCTTCTTTTTAATTGATTTCCTTTACGTGTAGAGATACTTTGTAGGTGGGGTTTGGCAGAAGGGTTCTTTTGAAATTGATTGAAGTTTTGATCGAAGGATTGCTGGGAAAGTTGAAAATATTGGAGAAATTTTGGGGAAAAAGTAAAACAAATGCCGGAAGAAGACTTGGTGGAGCTAAAATTCAGATTGTATGATGGATCAGATATTGGTCCCCTTCGGTATTCGCCGGCCGCCACTGTCGCCATGCTCAAGGAGAGAGTTGTCACCGAGTGGCCCAAAGGTTTTTTTTTTGCTGCTACTTTTTATATTTAATTATAATTTTTTTTCTTATTTGGGGATATATTTCTAGCTTGTCATGGAATTTGAAATTTAATTTATTATTTTTGATTGGAATAAAACGTTGTATGAATAATTGCTAAACTATGGTTTGTCTCATGTGATTATTGACTCTTCTTGTGTGTGCTTAATCAGGAAGTGTAGTATGGCAAAGGGATCTTGAGCAAATTTAATTTTTCGTGGAGTTTGTGTTCCTCTTTCATTTCATATGAAAAGAGATTTTGAAAAAAAAAAAAAAAACCACACACACACGCATAAATATTGTATTGGGATGCTTAGGGCCAGTTTGAGCCCCGTTTTGTTTTGTGTATAATTCATTTTGGAATAGTAGATTGATGGAGAATGTTTGGTTAAAAATGAAAGAAAAGTTTTTGGATTGTGTGTAATATTATTTTATTGAATAATGTGTAGTTGAAAAGAGGAGAGAGAAAAATGTATTTTGAAAAAAATAGGAATCAAACAAGGTCTTAAACTGAATCTCTCTCCTATTTGTAATATTGTCTTGTTCTAAATTATAGAGGTTCATTGATATGTGCCTATTTTAGATTGTGTAAGAGAGTAAACTGTACCTCGGCAAAACCATAGTTGTTATTTGGTAAAACGTTATATAATTACAAAAGTGAGATAGAGAAAGGTTGAATTCAAACCTAAAGATTGGAGGAGAGAGCAGGTTTTCAGATATCTGATGTTCCTTGCTCCAAAAATTGGAACGGTTAATTTAGTTTCTGCCTTCAAAATTTAATAATAAGAAACTCAGATTGTAGCTTGAGGTATATTTGTTGCTTTGTATCCTTCTTAGTCTGCTACTTTGCTTATTAACAGCTTTATTACATGTTTCTCACTGTGATTTGTTATTTTGATTGGACAAAATTGTTCCTTTTGCTTTAGATAAGAAAATTGCACCAAAGTCTGCAAATGATGTGAAATTGATTTGTGCTGGGAAAATATTGGAAAATAGTAAGACTGTTGGCCAATGCAATATGCCTTTTGGGGAGCTAGCTAAAGGTGTTATCACTATGCATGCTGTTGTACAACCATCCTTGGCTAAAGCAAAAGCAGGTAGTCTCTGTACTTAAACTTATTGGTGGATTATATTGCTTTGTGCTTCCCTTCTTTTTTGTACCTTGTATTAGGAGCTCTTAAATGATGTGTGCTAAAAAGCTTCAGTCATTTCTGAAATTTGCTTACTTGAAGTATTAAGTTCCACCCATTCCAAAATTTTCGTGTCGTTTACCCTCTAAATGACCAAGTTGGCTGCCCTTATGAAATTATTATTCTTAATTTTTCAGTGAACTATGCTTGTTTGTTATATATGATGTTCTGAGGTTACTAGCAGATCAAATATTAAGATCTGCCCAGAATCTTTTCCGAGTGTTGCAGTGCATTCTACTGGACTACTTTTTTGTCTTCCTTTGGAAGGGGGGAGACCTTCTGTATTGTTACCTTCTAGCTGTAGTTTGTCATCTCTTTAAACAGCACCTAGTTTTGTGTTTCCACAGAGAACTTGAGTTAGCTGTTGGTACCCAACAATATATCAACTGTTTGTCAATGTTAAATTTACTTATTCTATGCACTCTCCAAAAATGAGGTTCTTCATGAACCTGTGGTTAATTCTTATATTGTTATATATATTGTTACCTGTTTGTAAAAAAGTTGCCTTTGTTTCTGTGATTGACGTCCAGTAGCACATTAGTCCCAATAGGCCTTCCTAACCAGCTTTTTTTCAAATTTACTATAGATTCTCAAATAAACTCGGTATTTCTGATACATCTTCGTTACAGTCCAGGCATAAAAGAAATCTGATAAGGCCATCACTTCAATTGAAATTATGCTAAAGAAACTTTATTCTGGATCATGCTTTCTCATTTCATAAAAAGAAGATTCTGTCAACGTAAGATAGGCTGTTTAGACTTGGTTTTCATAATTTTAGCCCCTGCTTGAGCCCAATTTTTTGACAATAGATTTTGTCAAAAGCGATTTTTTGGTGAATGTTGGTTATCGGCGCCCTGTCTTTCAAAAGGAGATTTGATGGACGATTAGTTATCAGTCGAGTCGACGCCAATACTTAGCTTCTTGATCAAACCAAGCCTCCGCAATTTCAGAATCTCCCTGGGGAATGGTTCTTGCCCTAGATCTGCATTTTCTACTTTACGGGTAAAGTTTTGGATTTACGTGCAAAATTATTTTATTTGGAAATTGTGTGGCTGATCTGAGTTTGGGGGTAAAATGATTTTAAAAAATGGGGCTCGAACAGAGGCTGAGTCAGAATCTATGAAAATCCTGCCCAGTGTTTCATTTCTTGATGATGATCAACTAGTTTTGGGAATAACTGTCTCATGTTCAGATTTCTCTACTTTTTAAGAAGCTTTAAAGCTCTTGGTGGATGGGTGTGTATATGAGTGATACAGAGTTTAGCTCCTGTTTGGTGCCCATTGTTTTAAAACTCTTTGGGCTACAGGACCATTTTTAACCTCACATTCACACAATAAAATATTCTGCATGTAAACTTAAAACTTTTATCCACTTTTTAACCACACATTCTCCTGAAAATACTATTGAAAAGTCCTTTTTTTTTCTTTTTTGAAATAATGGGCACCAAATAGGGGCTTAATTAGTTCCATTCCACATGTGATTCTTCCTTGTCAGTCCTGGACTACGAGGAGTTTTCAAATGGCGTCCCAAATATTGACCCTAATTATTGGCTAGAAACTTCTTTAGGTTGAGAAGATGCATATTCTAAAAGTATTGAGATAAATAAGCAGCAGAAGGGGAAAAAAATATTTTAGCCACAATCAGATGATGATTTGTGAGCATTACAGGGAAACAATTCTAGGCAAGTCAAGGCTGCATATCCCAATTCCATTTTTTTTCCTGAAGGTATTAAGCTAGTTGAAAGTATTACCACTTGAAGTAGTACGGCAAATATAAAAGTTTAGTCCTGCTATACAGTAGATAGCCAAGCATACGTTTGGCTATCCATTTTTTACCGGAAGGAAAAAGCATGGGATTAAATATTTTAGCCACTGTTTGTCTACCATTATTTCAAAACTTTTTTGCTCAAACTCATTATTAACCACACATTTTCACAATAAAATATTTTGCTCGTAAATCAAAACCTTTTTCTTACTTTTTAACCACACATTCTTTAAAAATTCACTATTCCAAAACTCATTTTTACTTTATAATGGTAGACAAACAGGGGCTTAATTGGGAAAGACACTGCTGATTTTCCTGGGTTTTTATTTTCTACGGTGGGCTATATGGTAGAGTTTTAAAATCAAGAGAGTGCCATGATTATTCTCAATGGCTTGGAGGGTTGCATTGAACAATAACTAGGATTATATTTCCCATTCATAAAGAAAGCAACTAATTCGTATAAATCATTGGTCAGACCATTCTGATGATATTTATGCACATGTCGTCCAATCTCATTCTTCTACCATGCCTTTTAAGGTTGTCAAAATGAGATATGTTTTTGCATGATATAGATACTAATATATACAAGGCACTCAAAGTGTCGTCTTTGTGATACATGTTGTACTTCTCCATTAGCTATGGTTTGCTTCAGTCGTAGTGGTGGAGTTTCCATCTATGAGAAAAAATATGGCTTTCTTTTAGCATATTTTCATTTTCCTGGAATGGACGTTCATATTCATCACATTTCAGAACGTGGTGTGCTTGGAGAAATCATTTTTCCTCTCTTTCGCAATTGTCTTTTCTAAATTGAGGAGCTTGTATCTGGAGTCTTGTTATTGTTATTATTCAAACAAATACAATATCATTATACTTGTTATCTCAAAGTGAAATGAGGCTTGTGATTATATGAATTTTACAGTTACTCTCTCAATATAGTTACTGAAAGTCATCATTTCATTTCTTTACAGAAAAGAAGGTTGATGAATTGCCGAAGAAAAGCATTTGTTCATGTGCGATATTGTGAGTATGCAAGTTTGATTCCGCTTTTATCTTGTGGGCTCTTGGGAGTTGTTCACAATCTGTTCAACGGCATTATGTGTAACGCTGGCTTGTTATTATGTATATGCATTTTATGAATTTGTTTTGTGTACGATTATAGCTACAGTGTTTCTATACAAGAATACAGGATCCGGTTCTATGGACTTGATACCCTCAAAAGGGTTATATATACAGTAGCTTGGATTTATGGTCCATGTCAATATTGACTTTTCAAAAGACTATTACCTTAGTATATTTAACCTAATCCTGTTTTTCCTTCGTGTTCGTTCTCTTTTGGGAAATGTATGGTGTATAGCATTTGACACGATTTCATAGTATACTAAAAAAAATTGGGTCAACGTTGGGTCAAGGCCTGAATTGGGCCCCTTGGGATGCTCACATTTCTACCTCTTTATAACATTGAATAGATTTATTGTATGAATAATACTATTCATGATCAGCTATCATCGTCACATGTGGCGTATATTAATTACTCATTTTTAATAATTATAAAAAGGAAACTCAAATGGGCATTTGATATGCATACTGACCTCTCATCTTCCAAACATAGTAATTGCACGTCACTTTCTTTCCCAAGCGGCGGAATCTCTGATAGTAGATCACTGCCGCTTGGCTTTGCCGCTCCACCCTCCACCATGAAATGCTTCTCATTTACGAGTCCATATTTTTCTCACTCTGTTGAGCTTTGAATACTCGTAGTAAAAGTGTGTTTGATGGATATTATTGAGGAAATAATATATTTTAAATAATGATATAATGGGAAATATCTTCTATCTATATATTAAAAGTGGCTATGTAACGGAATTTCTTGTTTTTAACGGAAAAATTAACGGAATTTGTTGTTTTAACGGACTATGTAACGGAATTTCTTGTTTTAAACAGGCAGCTGCACCTTCTTTCAGTGTTTTTATCATAACTTTGTATTCCGATATCCGATTGAGGCGATTCAAAATGCGTTGGAAAGCTAACTCATCTGGCTACAACTTTGATTCAGACATCATTCTCCAATTCGATCACTTTCTATGCCAAAAATAGGTCTCAATATGAGACTAAAACATCGGAGCATAACTTTTCGGTTGGAAATTGATTTGTGATCATCTTTTGACTAAATTTGATTCCATTGACGTCTTCCTTTATCCAATTGACTCCGAGCACTCTCAAATCTTCATCGTGAGGTTCGGCACAACTTTTAAGTATTTACATTTTAGTCCCCGAACTTTGGATCCCTTACAATTTAGCCATTTCTCCAAATTTGTCAACTTTTGCTTATTTTCTTCTATCTCACCAACTTACATCACAACATCAAAATCACACATCTAATTATTTATCAATTACATAAACATTACATCATTAATTATTTAATTAACCAAAAAAATTACATCTTTATTAATAACAAATTAATTTTTAAACAAAACTATTAAATATAAACTACGCAAACGTGCATTGCACGTTGCTTGAACCTAGTGTGATTGAAAAGTAAGAAAAAGTTATTGATATGATGGAAAATATTATTTTCTTGAAAAACATGTGATTGAAAATGAGTTTTGAAAGAATGTATTTTAAAAAAATGTGTACCAAACAGAGGCTAAATGTCCTTTGGTTGCTTTAATGGCATTCTAAGAGATGAAGATGGTAAATGAAAAGCAAAACTTGAAGTATCTTCATGAGACTTTTTAAATATAAAATACTTCCTATTTTAAAGAGTCAACTTGATAGACTCCCTGCTGTTAATGCACTAGATTCCCCTGTTGTTTCTGCATAGCGTCCGAAATTCCCTGTTGAATCTGCAATCCGCTAAGATGACAAAATTAGGTTGCTCATGAAGTATTAGAAATTAGCTATTGGTAATTGAATGAGATCTATTGTGCACAACAAGGACCAATGTACGTATTTATTGAATGAGTGAAAAGAAATTAACAAGTTCAAGGCTAGTAGAGAGGCCGGTCTCTCCACCCCTCTATCTTCCTTTAACTGACTTCTAATTCAATGAATTTTCTAGCTCCTTTTCATTCCATATTTATTTCCAATCCTACTACAAACTATTACACTTTTACCCTTATCTAACTAACTTCTGCTAACTTGGCAAGCCCCTTCTTCCTTCTTGCATATGCGAACCGGATTGGAAGCCTATCATTATCCACTGCCCCGAAATCCACCTTGTCCTCAAGGTGGAAGCAAGGGAATTGCTGTCTGATTGTCTCAAAAGGTTCCTAGGTTGCTTCAAAATCAGATAAATTCTTCCACTTAGTTAAAATATCATGACCTCCCACCGCAATATCAGCATTCGAACGAACTCCCTGGACAGACTCTGGTTCCAAAATAAACTCCCCAGTTACTGACAGCTGTGGAGGAAGTGACGAAATTGGCTGCAAATCTCCTATGGCCTTGTGGAGCTGAGAAACATGGAAAACCGGGTGGATAGAAACTATATGGGGAAGTTTTAGTTTCTACGCTACTTGTCCAACATTCAACTCCACTTCGAGCGATCCAAAGTACCTCAAGGAAAGCTTCTCAAATGGGTGTTTCGCCTTAGATTTATGGCGGAATGGATGGAGCTTGAGATAGACTAAGTCCCCTACCACAAATTGAATGTCACGGCGATGGCCATCTGCGATCTCCTTTATTCACAAATGTGCCCTGGCGAGTTGCACCTTCAGTTCTTTTAGGACTTCATCGTGTTCTAGTAACAACTGCTCTACAAAAGAATTCACCGTCATCTCGACCATACATAATCTGAAAGGGAATGTGCTTGGTAGTAGTATGAAAAGAGGTATTATACCAAAATTCAACCTAGTGTAAATATTGACTATACACTCGTGGTCTGTTGGAAGCAAAACATCGTAAGTACGTTTCCAAGCATCAGTTCACAACCTCCGTTTGCGCATCGGTTTGTGGATGATAGGCGGTGCTATGTTTCAGGGCGGTTCCCTAAGCTTTGAATAGAGCTGTCCAAAAGGTAGTGTAAAAATCATGTCCCGATCCGAAATTATGGAGTGAGGCGCACCACCTCGCAAATAAACACCTCAGCAACGATTGGATCAGTAACCCAACGAAGTGTCCGTATTTACTTAATCAATCCACAACGACAAAGATAGTATCAACTCTACCTGACTGAGGCAGGCCATCAATAAAATCCATTGAAACATCCTCCCAAACTAACTCAGGTACCGACAATGGCTGTAAAAGTCCTTCTAGGGATAACCCTACATATTTATTTTGTTGACAGACAACACATTTTACAACATAGTCCTTTACCCTTTTTTTCATCCCTGGCCAATAAACTTCTCTGGAGACATGCTTGTAAGTTTTAAGAAAAGGCGAATTGTCGGGCAACACTTTTCCGGGCATCATGACATGAGAGTCACAAAAGACGAATTGTCGGGCAACACTTTTCCATGATATCATAAGATTCCATCCACCATAGCATATCCGGCTCGTGCATTTGGGCCCTTCTGTAGGTCTCTTACAATTTCCTAGTACCTCATCTGTGGCTATATCTTTCTTAATCTCTTCCAGCTGAAAGACCTTAGGGGTGGTTATAGCAATAAAATTAATTGCTAGCTGAATTTCGGAAAGGGCATTAGCAGCCTTGTTCTCCAATCCGGGACGATATTGAATGTCGAAATGAAATCCCGTCAATTTAGTAAGCCACTTCTGATGATCTTCACTCAACAAGTAATAATTCCATTTTTGAATAGCAAATACCACAGCCATCAATTCCCTCTCATAAACTGAATGTTGCCTGACATGCTGTGGAAGAACTCTACTGAAGTAAGCAACATGATGGTTGTCCTGCATTAATATCGTCCCTAAACCGTGACCGGATGCATCCGTTTCAATCACAAACTGCTTAGAGAAGTCGGGTAGCGCGAGCACTAGAACACTGATCATGGCAACCTTGAGGTATTGAAATGGTAATTCAGTGTCTTCATCCCATCGGAATCTTTCTTTCTTAAGCAGCTCAATTAAGGGCTAGGCAACCTTGGCATAACAAGGCACAAAATGCCTGTAGTACTCTGTAAGCCCCAAAAAAATCCCGATGCTCCTTGAGAGTGCGCAGACTGGGCCAATTGACCATGGCTTCAATTTTGGATTGGTCAGCTATGACCCCTTTATCAGTGATCACATGGCTGAGGTATTCCACTTCTGCTTGTCGCATTAAACATTTCTTGTCATTGGCGTACAACTTATGTTCACTCAAAAACCCCAATACTACACACAGATGTTGGAGAAGTTCCTCAAGCGAATGACTGTAAACTAGAATGTCATAAAAAAATACAAGGACAAACTTCCGTAAGTAAGGTCGAAACACCTCGTTCATCAAATGCTGGAAGGTGGCCGGGGCATTTGATAACCCAAAGGGCATGACTAAGAATTCATAGTGCCCTTCGTGGGTGCGGAAAGCTGTCTTGGGAATATCCTCTGGTCGAACTCTAATCTGGTGGTAGCCCAACTTCAAATCTAACTTCGAAAACACCCGAGCCCTATGTCATCCAACATTTCATCAATCATAGGGATCGAAAAATGGTCAGGCACCGTAGCTTTGTTGAGCACACGATAATCTATACAAATTCTCCAGCTACCATCTTTTTTTTCTTCACCAACAAACTGGGCTCGAAAATGGATTTAGGCTTGGCTGGATGATCCCCACATTGAGCATATCCTTAACCAATTTTTCAATTTCATTCTTCTGGACATACGGGTATCGGTAGGGCTATATGTTCACTGGAGTTGTCCCAAACTATAAAAGAATTGCGTGATCCCGTGCTCTCGGGGGTGGAAGTTCGTTTGGCCACTCAAAAACTCGTTGGTGATTTCGCAACAACTCTTTAATAGAGCTGTGAAATTTAGACACTTGTATCCGGTTCTACTCCAAGACTTCCCCATTCAAGCAAAATGCCATGTTCTCCTTCCTTATGCGACTTAACCAGCGACTTCAGTGATACCTACGTCTTGTCAAAGCTG